GAGAGAGAGAGAGAGAGAGAGAGAGAGAGCAAATAATAGACAGTAACAAACTGAGAATTTCCTGACGTTGCGAGTGAAGCACTATTTTGCCTTCCTTGTGCATCTGTCTGGAGATCGGAAATTTGACTGAATAATGATTATATAATCAGGTAAATCATAAAAACAACTAATGATTTTTAAAAATCTAACTTTATCTTTAAAGAAAACAATAGTTGATGTATTTTTTAAGAAAGGCTGAAAGAAAAAGAGAGAAAAAAAATCCCATCGATCCCCCCCCCCCGGTCTCGAAAAGAACCCAGTCACCCAAAACGAAACTATTTCTGCCAAAATTGGAAAGCAAACTACCAGTTACGCGAACAGCCCAATTTGCGGCCGTCTAACCTACGCCTCTACGGTCATTCTGCGGTTGTCAAAATATCGGTTAAGAAATTGATGGTCGACTTAGCATTCCGCGAAAAGGTGTTTGAGGGATGAACAGAAAATTCGCGTAAACGGTAAACAGGAAATTTTGGTTCTGTTGTTTACATTTAAATAGGTAAACAAAAATAGATGATAAAGGAGAAGGGGAAAAATAATAATTATGGTTTTATTTTAGAAAATGACATTGCTTTCGCGGAGACAAATATATTGCATTTATTTGTCGATTTATCTGACATAGAAGTATGAAGAAATCGAGCAAGTGAATTCATCTGTGTGTGTGAGTTTGAGTGTGTGTGTGTGTGTGTGTGTGTGTGTGTGTGTGTGTGTGTGTGTGTGTGTGTGTGTGTGTGTGTGTGTGTGTGTGTGTGTGTGTGTGTGCGCGCGCGAGTGTGTATGTGTATGTGCATGTGTGTGTATGTGTATGTGTATGTGCATGTGTGTGTATGTGTATGTGTATGCATGTGTGTATGTGTGTGTGTGTGTGTGTGTGTGCGTGTGTGTGTGTGTGCGTGTGTGTATACGTGCGTTCGTGTGTGCTTCCGTGTGTGCGTTTATATCGTTTGAATAGTCCATAATCATAAAAATACGATACGATCACATATATCCCCATAAAAACAAAAATAGAACAAATTAAATCCCATGTCTCAGACAGACACGATAATCATTCAGCAATATATATGCAACTTTCCTACGGCATCTTGATTGTTATGGGCGATGAGGCTGTAAAATACGACAATTTCCTGATATTAAAGCCAAATAAAATGGCTTCATTCGTCTTTGAAATTTGAGAGATGCTAAATTTACATATATTTCGTGTACGGAAAAGGGATAAATGATTTAATTTTGGTGTTAGAGATGGAGGGATGGAAGGGGAGGAAGAGACAGGGAAATGGGATAGAAAGTGGGAGTGAGAAAAGAGGGAGAAGGGTATGGGAGTATGGAGAAAGAGAGAGGGAGAAGGAAAGGGGGAGGGAGGAAGGGAGGGAGGGAGGGAGGGAGTGAAGAGAGAGAGAGAGAGAGAGAGAGAGAGAGAGAGAGAGAGAGAGAGAGAGAGAGAGAGAGAGAGAGAGAGAGAGAGAGAGAGAGAGAGAGAGAGAGAGAGAGAGAGAGAGAGAGAGAGAGAGAGAGAGAGAGAGAGAGAGAGAGAGAGAGAGAGAGAGAGAGAGAGAGAGAGAGAGAGAGAGAGAGAGAGAGAGAGAGAGAGAGAGAGAGAGAGAGAGAGAGAGAGAGAGAGAGAGAGAGAGAGAGAGAGAGAGAGAGAGAAAGAAAGAGAGAGAGAGAGAGAGAGAGAGAGAGAGAGAGAAAGAAAGAGAGAGAGAGAGTAAGGTAGAAAGAGACAGAAGTAAAGAAAATCACCGAAAATTTAATGGACGGTTAAAACCATCCTCTTATTTCTAATTTGTTAAACAGACATACGAATGAATAAATGCGAAAAATAACTATTTACGGATGGCATTTTTTCGGTCACAAAAGATGTACATTTTGAAAGCGAGTAAATACTGTACAAGAAATGAGTTTACTTAAAAAGTCAGACAATTGGAACTAAAGATATAAAAAGAAAATTATGTATATGGTGGTTTATTGTGTGTGTGTTTCGAAACCTTTTTAAGGCCCTTTTTTCTGGAGTTGGCAAATATTTGAAACCCCTGAGTATAAGATTTTCCATTTTCCTGATATGTATAGGTGCTACGTTAGCTCAGGAATATATATATATTTTTATCATTGCAAAAAAATTACCAAAATTGCAGACTGAAAGTTACATAGGATTGTTTACCATCAACGGCTATCTTTTTGTTAAAAGTATATCATATGACTTTAACTGATCATGAATCCGTAATTACCTTGATAATATTTCTGACACCTTACTAGTTACAACACATTTTACTGTGCGCAATTTTGATGCTTGAAGAAAAAAAAATATAAATAACTTCAAAAAGAAAGGAAACCATTTGACGAGTTTTTACGAAATTTTCATCGGAAAGAAGGAATAACGTTGATCATATCCCTTGTTCATTCAACTCTAATAAAATCCTAAGTCAATATGTCTCTCGGGAAACGCAAGGTCGAAGAGACAACGTGTGCAGATGACAGAGTGTTCTCTCTCTCGCCTTCGATAAGAATCTGAAATAGATCTCACACACAAAAAAGAACCTTGGTCTAATTATATCAGTGATAGATACAGTGAAAAATGTCCCGAATTTGATTTGCTTAGAGAAAATGGTTGGCTGAAATGGTACCCAGATCATTTTTTAAAAATATATATATTAGCAAAAAATATATTTCATTCATATAGATACATACATACGTTCGCACAGACAAAACAAAAACAATTTATAAATATAATTTAAAAAAACTACGCGTATAATTTCAACGTCACCGTTTTCTATGTTTACACACGAAAGCCTAAAATTTAAAACCACATCCGACTGAAAACTTAACTTCGTCTTTAACCCCGAGTTTTCCACCAGCATCTCAGGAGTCATTTGACACCCGAGCGCCACACAGAAGGGACCAGATTATTTTTCCTGCCACTCCCTCCACGTGTCACCCTTTGTTTACCTGTGATGTCATCGAGTCGTCAGGTTATGACGTCACCAGGAATAAAGCGTCACGCCCTATTTTAATGTATATTTTTTCGTCTATGGGTCGCCTTGCGAGGTCGAGAAGACAATCAGCTGTCCTTCACGCTTCACGTCACGGCATTCTTTTATTAGCGACATCCAATAATAGACAAAACCGCCATAGACAGAAATAAGATGAAGAGAGGGAAAAAAGAGCACCGTCTTCCGCACAGCCTGCAACGACGAGGAACTTGATCACAGAGCTCCAGTTAGACTACCGACGTTCATTAGGCTCACCTGTTATGTCTCAGGGCGCAGCGTGATTGGCTTCGATAATCTGGAGCCATTCTAAATTGGGGCCGAATCGCGTTTATTTCGAGAGGCGGACGATTAAAAAGGATTAGGCAACAATTTCTTGTGAATTTTTTGAGTCGTACGTGTTGTGCGTATATGTGCATGTCTGTGTGTATGCGTCTGGGATTGTCGGTAATGTAGTTTAACATGTAAAATCACTACTAAATACAAAGCACCATAGATTTCAATGTGTTTTTGTATTGAATATGATAATGGATGTAGGTATTCAAGCGCAACATTGACACGTGACGAAAATACGTTTCTTAACACCTTGCTGTCTGTTTTTATTTATTTCAGTAATTTGTTTGCACACAGCCCTTGCGTTATAGACAGAAAATATCTTGTAAAGACTACGATGAATTTAACCCACACATCTCAAAAAATAGATAAATAAATAAATAAAGGTAATGTAGGCAAAAAAAGATTATTTAGTACCCTGAATAATGAAATTAAAGGTTAGATATTTTGTAAATCACATACAGAGATTCAGAATAAAGAGCTTTGATTTCCGTCTTACACTTCTGAACGTTCACTGCGAGTTTTCAATCCGATAACATTTCTCTAAGAATTCAGACAGTGCGAATATAAAATGATAACAATAAATAGAAAACAAGAATAAAGAAATAAAAAAAAATAGCAGGAATTATCAAATCATATTATCTTCATAAGAATAACGGATTATTACAAATGACTTAAGGATTGTTGAAAGAAAATAGGAACAAGTGACAAATACAGACGAGAGAAGGAAGGAGGATGGTGCCATGCGTACATTCAAGCTCAGCCGAAGGCACTGAGAATAGCCTACGAGTCTCATGAAAGGGAGAAGGATCAGTGGAATGTTTTGACAAGTTTTGGTACCATATGTTGGTACTCTTCACTCGCGCTCGTTATCTCTTTCTCTCTCTCTTTCTCTGCCTCTCTCTCTCTATCTGTCTATCGATTTCTATCTGTTTATCTGAGAGAGAAACGGATAAAAAGAGAGGGAGGGATAGAGATAGGCAGTGGGAGAGGGAAGGAAAGAGGGAGAGGTAGATATATAGATAGATAGACAGAAAGAGAGAGAGAGAGAAGGGGGAAGAGGGAGGAAAAGGAGAGAATGGAGAGGAGAGATCGAGAGAGAAATGGAATCTGTGCAAGTGTGTGAGAGAGCGATTCGCGCAGCTCCGCACCCAAGCACACTCCCGAGCGCACAGAGCCCGACCCGGAGCCGCGCGAGCACTTCCCCATCCCCGGGTAGGCCTACCGTCGGCGAGAGCCCGAGGCGGCCCGAGCGGGGGCGGGGACGGATCGACCTCCCTTCCGCGCGACACTTACTGTGGTCGAAGCCTCGTCGGTAGAGGTTGAGCACATCCTCCTCCGTCATGACCTCGGTGAGCACGCTGGAGGACGAGGAGGAGGACGGGGGGCGGAAGAACGGGTCCTCCTGGGTGGTGGGTTGAGGGCTAGGGGTGGGTTGCGGGGACGTGGGGTGGTGGGCGCTAGTGGCAGTGGCGGGGGTGGGCGCTGGGGGCAGGAGGGTGGCGCGCTCCCATTTGAGGGCTTCCTTGACCCTCTTCCAGCCGGAGACCTTGGTCTTCGGTCCGGGCTGTGACCCGCCGTCCAGCAGGTCCGTGCCGACGGACTTGCTGCGTGAGCGGGCCACCACGGACGCGGAGCGAAGCTTACCTTTGTGCTGCGGGCGGTGGCCGAGCAGGAGCAGGCTGTCCTCCGAGCCGTGGCGGGACAGCTCTCCGCCGCCGCCTTCCACATCCTCGTCCAGGTGGATGTCGGAATCCGATAGGTGAATGGGGCCGAGTCCGAGGCCGGAGCGGCGGGCCTCCAGGGTTTCCTGCAGGTGGCGGTGCATCTCCTGCAACGTCTGCAGCTCCTCCAGGTAATGCACTCTCCTCTGCAGGCGCGTGTTCTGCTCGCGAAGCTCCCCCAGCTGCTCCATCATGCGGCAGAGGTTGTCCAGGTGATCCAGGCCCACCTTGGTGCCCACGACGCCGCCCACGGAGGCGGGGGCGCGCGTGGGGCTGCGGTGTTCGCTCCGGGGCGGCGGCGACATATCCTGAGGAGGCTGGCCTCCTGCCTCCTTCTGGACCTGCTGCGGCCGCCCCGGACCCTCCTTCTGCACCTGTGGGAGCGACAGCATGAAGTCCAGGAATTCCCTCTCCGTCTGTAGCGCCGCCGAGATGCCGTCGCCCTCGTCGGGCACCTCGATCATGCTGAAGTCGAAGGTCTGGAGGCGCGAGTCCGGGTCGGGGCTGGGCGACACGCTGGGGCACGAGTCGGAGTCCTGGTAGCCGCGCCGCCGCGAGGGGCGCAGCAGCGGCGACCCCCGAGGGCTCGCTGAGATGAGGGAGTCCTGCGACATCTTTCTCCCGTCGTCGTCGTCGGTCGTGCTGTGGCCGCCGTCGCCGTCGCCCGCGGGAAGCAGCTCCCGGGAGCCTCGGTCCTCGGACTGCGGCTGGGAATCGGAATCGAGGTACTGGTGGGCGTGGTCGTGGGCGTACTCGTCGTGGGCCTCCATGGGTGTCCCGGGCGGTGCTCCATCCTGCGGCACTGTTTCGCTCATTACATCCACCACACGCTCACACCGCCAGTCCTGCTGGCACTGTGAGACGTCGGGCACGCTCTCGCCTGGCCCCCGCTACCCCCACCGCGGCGCCCCCTGCCCGCTGTGCCCCTTCCTGCGCCGCCCCCGCCCCCCCTCACGCCCCGCGGTACCCTCAGTCCCACCGCCGTCACTGTGCCACTAAATATACGCTCAGTCTGGCGGTCGCCCCAGCACCTGCCGGGAGTGACGTCATCAGGCGGTACGCTCGCACCAGTGAACGCTGATATAAACAATGAATGAGACACATGCGGACACGTGGCCACTCAGGCCTCACCTGCTGCTGCGACCTGCTGGACACCCGAGCTGCCGCCAGGAGTCCTCCGCGACGTCGCTCATCCGGAATCGCGTCCTGCGGGAGGAAACACACGTGAAATGCTGGTCTTGCCTTCCTTCGCCTAAGGTGCGCGGCCGTCGGAGGGCATCGCGGAACTGTCATCGAAGGACTTCATGCTATTTATACAAGAGCAATTCCGGGAAACAGACCCCGAGGACTAGCATGGCCGGCGAAGTCACTGCTGAAGATAGGCAAGGGTTCATCTATCAGTGAAAGCCTAACTAACAGCGCTACTACTCACAATAACAGATTTATGATTATTATGACAATGGTAATGACAATAAGGATAAGAACACAACAAAAACACAAAGAAATGTGCAAGTATAAACATTTTTCCAAATCTCTGGAACAAGAGATACGCGCCAATGTAGAAACCTTGTAGAAACCGCGCATTTTCCAAATTCCAATAATAAAAAATCACACATGGGTCCTGGCAAAAAAAAGATAAATAAATAACTTGTGTTGTACATCTATCACACCGACACTCATCGGTTACACAGAGGAAGACATAACTCAAAGAAAATTCGGAATTAAAAGATTAAAAAAAAGGAAAAAGACAAGCGCTTCATCATCCCGGATCTTTGACGCAAGATAACACTAATAGGAAGGAATGTCATAACTCAAACACATCGCTTTAAACGTGTACTTTGATTTTTTTTCTTGTGTTTGGAAAGTTTCGACAGATACCTCGCCGCTTTCATCTGAGCTGCCGCTGCTGGTCGGATAAATTATATAAATCTCATACGTATACATGTATGCAGATATATGTCTGTATGTATATATATATATATATATATATATATATATATAT